AGGAATGCGGAGAGCTCTAAGAATAGCACATTTGGTTCCTCCAGCGCCCGTGGAGCTCAGGACCGCACAGTGTGTCCCACCCAAACAATGGCTATTTATTAGCTCCGGCCCCCCAACACAACAAGCTTGGAAGCTGGGTTCTGGCTTTCAGCATTTCACACACAGAGCAGTGGGCAATGCTGCCCTCATCCCCGAGGCTCTCAAACTTTAACGAGGACAAACGTGGGCTTGGAAAAGGAACGGCCACCCAAAGGGATTCTTTGATTCCAGCCTGACTTAAACAGCGAAGATCGCGGGCTGATTTTCCTGCCTTCAGGGGAATCCCTCCTTTCCCCTCCCAGAGACCAGTGTCTGTTCTTGGATCGGTGGGAGGCAAAGAGCAGCTCCTCTGGAAGCGGCGGGGTTGTTCTAGTATTGCTGAAGGCAGAATTGGGCCCACTATATCTGACATGCCAGAATAGCGAGATCTGCAAGTACAAACTGTACTTAGACATGAAAATCAGGGAGATGCCGAGCTATTCAACCTGCCTGGGCAAATGCAGCTTTTCATGCACCCAGAAACAGCCAATAAAGTCAAGTGGCTAAGCTTAAGCCCCAAAAAGAGTGTGTGATCGTTTTGGAGACCATCTCTGACTCTCTGGCATTTACTACCATCTTTATGTCATGGATTTACGAGCCCAGACTTTTGAGTATAATTTCACTCAGCAAGCATCAGTCCTACGCGAGTAAAACGAAAACCTGCACAGATCCACGAGAGCAATGTGAGCACCACCAGGCTTTGCAATACCGCACAACGCAAGCCGTCAGTGCCTCGATCGATATCCGTCAACGCTCGACAATAAAGACGTAGTGCTTCAGATGGGAAAAGATTAGTCCTTATCAGATTTACCAGTTGTCCGGGCAGTACAGGATCTGGGATGCAAACTGATTACGCTTAAGAGATATATCATTAAGTAGAAAAATGGTAGAGCTGGGAGGCCCCAGCAGTAACCCGGCTTTCGGAATGTGGAGTCTTTGCTCTAATATGCGTTAAAACAACAGCAAAAAGCTCGCTCTGGGTCTGTGTCCCAGCCACTGCTCTCTGCCCCACGTTGCTCTGCTGGCTACAAGGATCAGATTTCATGGTTTATTGTTCTGCCTCCAACTGGCCACCATCCACATTCTGCTCCTGGACAAAGCTGCACCTCTTGCTCAAAAGAAGAAAGCACTATGCCTTCTTTTTGTAAATTTTAGTCACATTTACAAACACACACTCAGAGTAAGGGGATGACTTTTAAACACTAAACAGCATTCCAGGGAATGCCGTTTTCTTCAAGCAAATTTCTTTGAATGAGGCTAAAAAGGGCAATTTACCAGCACAAGGCTACTAATTTTGGAAGATGCAGAAGTTGTCTCCCCTGTCTTCTGAATCTGTAACATTTTGCCTTTTAATGAAACAACTGCTCTCTGCTTGAAGAGTCCTGTTCATCACCTGCCTCCAGAGAGAGTTGGCACCGAGATTCTGCAAAGCTCAAATTCAGCTCTCAGGTACACTGTTGGAAATGCAAACCACAGTCACTGAAGCTACTTCGCTACAACGGAGTAAAACTGGTACACAGCAGGTCGGGATCAAAATTCCAGTATCACTGTTTCCATGTAAGTAGGAAATCTATTGCAGACAAATAACACATCTACATGCTAGATTCAAAGACACGTGGCAAGTATCCCAAAATGTCAAGGTTTCCTACCTAGAACATTTTTTCCATCTCATTTTTATTTTAATTCAGCACTCAGGATCCATTTTCTTCTATGAGATTCGCAGTAAAGTTATCAAAACCTAACAAAATGTTCCACTCCTGAACATCCACCATCTTTCTTCGGCAGCTCAACAGACTGTAAAGCTGAAGCACTGTCATCTGGTGTGTAATTATTGTAATAAGTCTTGTAAAATGAGAGAGGCACCATAAGCCTACCTAGCTAGTCTGAAAATGTAAAATGCTCATCACCTGTAATCGTCGCCTTAACTGTCCTTGATCTTTACTGATAGCTGCCAGATTATAACAGCTCTCTCTCTGACAGTGTGAATCGGCTAAAAGCGCAGCACAGGCAGAGCAGTAGGGAAGTTGCTGGGAAAGGGGCTATTTTGGCCAACTATAGAGGCTCACTGCAGGAATTTTTCTCCCCCCACCCCGTTGTTTTTTGGCTAATCAGTGACGTAGGGGGTTCGGAGGTGTAAGATGAAAATGCAGAGCAGGGAAAACTAGGGCACAGTAAACCTCAGGAATCCAGCAGGGACGCGGCAACTCCACACACCCAGCCGGGAGCCAGGAAAAAAAATACATGCTCAAAGGTTATGGACACACGATCAAAAGCAATCATGTTACCGCAGTTAACAACTTACCAGCCATCATCCGAGACGCAGTAAAACACCGTGGATGTATTCTTCACCCACACTGCCTCCGGAGTGGAACATCCAACGGGCAGTAACTCCTGAAGCTGCAGCAGCTTACTCACTTTCCATCGTACGTCCATTCATACTCCTAGATCCAGGGCAGCAAGACCCTCTACTCTGTGTTTAATTTGGGTCTCACTGAACACAAACAGGGTCCTCACGTGCTTAAAGCAACGTGATTGCTGCCGGCCTTTGTTGAATTAGGGGCGTTCTATTGATAACCCTTTAAAGCGAGCTATATACCCCTTATCAGTACATGTTCTATATTTGGATAAGGAAATTCAGCAAGTCACCAGTCCTTCCCAGCTGTCTGTTTTAAGTTGCTGTATCGAAGCAAGGGAGTACTGAGCACGCACAACTTGGAAGAGTGAGTCGATCCTAAAGTGGCACAGTGGAAATGCACCTCATTGATTTACCACGAGCAGCTGACATTTAGTACCTGTCCCCTTATTTCTCATTGCTATCACAGGACAAGGTTACACCAAGTCACCCACGTGGAAGAAATCCACCTCTATAAGAACCCGTCACCTCGCAGGGCAGAAGAGCACAGAAACCCAGGCTCTGGAGTGCATTCCCCAGCTAAGCACCACGCTCTCAAGCGGATCACAGAATCACAGAATGGTAGGGGTTGGAAGGGACCTCTGTGGGTCATCTAGTCCAACCCCCCCTGCCCAAGCAGGGTCACCTACAGCAGGCTGCACAGCACCGCGTCCAGGTGGGTCTTGAATATCTCCAGAGAAGGGTACTCCTCCCTGGGCAGCCTGTTCCAGGGCTTTGCCACCCTCAAAGTAAAGAAGTTCTTCCTCATGTTCAGACGGAACTTCCTCTGCTTCAGTTTGTGCCCACTGCCCCTTGTCCTGTTGCTGGGCACCACTGAAAAGAGTCTGGCCCAATCCTCCTGACACCCACCCTTCAGATATTTGTAAGCATATATTAGGTCCCCTCACAGCCTTCTCTTCTTCAGGCTGAACAAGTCCAGCTCCCTCAGCCTTTCCCCAGATGCTCCAGTCCCCTCACCATCCTCATAGTCCTCCGCTGGACTCTCTCCAGTAGTTCCTCATCTTTCTTGAACTGGGGAGCCCAGAACTGGACAGAGTACTCCAGATGGGGCATCTCTAGGGCATAGTAGAGGGGAAGCAGAACCTCCCTCGATCTGCTGGCAACACTCCTCTTAATGCATCCCAGGATCCCATTGGCCTTCTTGGCAACAAGGGCACACTGCTGGCTCAGTCCTGGATCCTAGCAGAGCTCAGTGCTGGATCCCAGCAGAGCTTCAGAGGTCACCCTCTAGTTTGCGGGGCAAGAAGCGTTTTGTCCTTCTTGAGGAGCTGATGGAGCGCCTGCATGCACAGCTAAGCAGCTTGAAGGATTCTGCTTCCAAAGTATAGGTTCAGCCTAACAAGGTACTCAGCTTTGGTGGTGAGGTTCAATCTGTTTCCTACTATTCTTCCTAACAAAAAGATAGCTATGTATTCCTCACACCCAGGCTGCTCTCCAGCCGAGTCCCCAAGCCCTTCCTTGCTCTGAAGTCCCCGTTCACAGTAAATCTCTCTGATCTGGGGTAGTAGCAGACAGTGCTTTGCGCCGCTCCTCCAGTCGCAGGAAGAAGGTTGCTGGAAAGAAGTCAGGGCTGTGTCTCACTCCTGCCAGCTGCATTTTTGCATTTACCAGCCGGGCTGGTATTGCAGATCAACCAAGGGTGGGGAATGGCCCTCACCCAATGCAGGGCATTGCTTCGGGCACATGCCGCTAACAGGTATTTCAAGTCTGCCTCTTTGCTGCTCGGGAGCTGCACTGTTTGACCTGCTGTCCATGAAGGAGTCATACTTTAACTTCATTTCTCACCCCACCTGATCTTTTCTAGCCTCAGAAGCATAACACAGAGATGAACTCGTTGAAAGGCACTGAGAAAAAAAATATATATTCCCACTAAAAAGATTATGGGAAACATGGGAACATTTCTACAGCTTACAATACAAACTAAATAAGAATACCACCTATACACGTAAAAATAATTTATTTTAGAGGTATGAGATGTGTTTTGCCTAATAGCATAAAGTTCTCCACTGGGCTAGAAGAGACATTGCATGCTGGAATTACAGTACATTTCAAGTAAGAACTTGTGATAGCACCAGGGTGTTGTTACTGCCTTGTCCTTGTATACGCTGTGCACACCCCAGAAGTTTAGCGACGTCGCATTTTAAACACAAAGGAAAGTAAAAATAAGAAAACAAATGACTCCATGTTTTCACATAAGCCCTCTAAGACAGAAGAGACGTTCTCACCTGTCTGCTTTGAGATGGCAGCGTGGCAGGCTGCATGTGCCTCTGCATCCGATGCGGCTGTATCAGCTGTCGGAACTGCTGCTGGAGGAACTGGCTGTTGTTGGCCTGCTGGGACGGCTGCGCGGTGGCTGGAGACTGCTGCTGCTGCTGGAGATAGTGAAGGAGAGACTGCTGCCCTTGTCCTGCTGTCAGGGGTGACATCTTCTGAGCAGCTGACTCGGAGGCAAAGTGAGACAACGGTTTGGTGTTGTTGAAAGAAAACTGGTCTTGGCTAACGGGGCTCTCATTCACCAGACCTGGCTGTAAGCTACTGGATGGCTGTTGCATAATTACGTTCATGTTTTTGGACTGGTTTGTAGTCATTGATTTAAAAAGCGAGCTCTGCATACTTGTGGGGTTGCTGGTGGGAGTGATGCTGGAGATTAATGTACCTTGAGGACTGAAGGGCTGCTGATGCAGAGCTGGGCTTGACAGCTTTTCTGGCCTGTATGGTGGAGAAGGTCCAGTATTTGTGGAGGCCATGCTGGCAACCAAGTTGTTCTGTGGACTTTTGATGTTGTTGGCTGGTAAACTGGCTGCCGTCAGGGTGGGCAGCATGGAGCTCTGCGGGCTGAAGGGCTGCTGGTTCAGAGCTGGACTGGAGAGCTTCTCAGACCCATAAGGAGGAGAGGGCCCGTTGGACGGGGTGCTGCTGGAAGTCATGCTTGAAAGCAGAGTGTTTTGAGGACTCTGGATGTTGTTTCCTGGTAAATTATTAGCAGGCATGCCAGACACCATAACATTTTGAGGACTGAAAGGTTGATGGTGTGGGGATGATCCTGCCCGGTAAGGCGGAGAGAGACCAGGAGGAGACATAGTTGGCCAGCTGGGACCCTGCACTTGTTGCTTAGTAGTAGACACCTGCTTGCTAGCTGCCAGCTGCTTTAGCTGCTGAGCGTGCCAGTTGGAGCCAGGTATGTTGGGTAGGGGTACCGGCAGCATAGGTGGTGGCTGGTTCTTGCTCTGCGCTGCTGTAGAGATGGGCGATGCAGCAGGTTTGTTTGAGGGAGGAACTGGGAAGTTAGCTCCAGCAGATGATGGTCTCATCTGAGGAGATCCTCCACTGGTCGGATTGCAGCCCGGAGAAAAGTCTTTGTTAGTAACATGGTTCTCCAAGTGGGAAGTCTGTGGGGAGGACTTTGGAGTGGTGCTTATGCTTGGTTGAGAATGACTCAGCCCAAGTGGCTCTTCAGTCTTGCTGCACAAAATCTTCTCCAGATCCAGGTCATTGGGAGAAGGATCAGGCATTTTCGTCAGCTCCTCCAATAGATCTTGCAGCTCTTGGTCCACAGACTGCAAGCTGTTTCCTTTCTCATCATAGTGGACAATGTTGTTGTTTTGCCCTCCTATTGACCCCTTCTGATTTATTTCTGTGTTGGGTGGCACTGAAAATGGGGAACCCATGCCACCGCCATTCATGTGGTTGCTCTCGAGGAGCACTGAGTGACCTGCAACTCCCAGGGAAGGAGCGCTGTGACTGCTGGAGAATGGAGAACTTTGCATTTCTGGACACGCCACATTGGGATTGGCACCTTGGCCCATGGCGAGGTTTACGTCATCAAGACAAAGTCTTTTACTGTCATTTGGGAAAATGACGTCAGGCACACCGCTGGAGGCAGGAGAGCTATCATCTTCCAGTTTTCTTTTAATGGATCCCTGTAACTGAGAAAATAAAAAAGGAAGAAGAAAGGATCCGTTATTGAGCTTATTCTAACATGTTCTGAAGCTCCATACTGTAACACTGGGTTGGAGATACAGAAAATTAAATCATACAATTAAAAAATCAATCCTGTGAGACAAATTCAATCAGGATTTAAGTGGGTGCAACTTCAGTGAAATCAAAAGAGTTACAGTCAGACAAAGGCTGAATCTCACATGTTGGCCTTAAAACAGATGTTAAAGCTATAAAATACTGTCTGTCATGTGAGATGTAATACAAGTTTTTAAAATAGTTGGTACCCTTTCAATTAAGACATTATACTCCCTGAGTAACAAACACGCCAGCGTTTTTATGGTAACATTTTTTTGGTCTAAACAATGGCAGATCTGAATGAAACCCTGGACTGAATTTAGTGACCTTCTGCCAGTGACTCAGATTAAATTCAGACCTGAAACAACTAAATAGTTTTACATTCTTTATAGGCAGAACATCTGAAGTCACTGGTATACTTTCCAAACAAACCAAACCAAAACAAATTCTGGACTACCTATCTAAACAAACTTTCAAGCTTCCTAATCACAGATGTTTTAGATTTCAGAAACCAGTAAATAACAGCTAAACCTCTTAATTTTTGTTTATTCTTCTAAATCTAAGGCAGTGTGGGCTTTCTTCTTTTGAAGGATTGAGACTCATTCATAAAAACAGAAGTGTTTTCAAGACACAATTATATAAATATCTTGATATACAAGAAATGGTAGAGTTATAAATCCACAAATCTTCGGGAAAAACACCTGCCTTATAGATATAAAGAAAGTGAAACTGAAAATAACGCATCTGATGCTAATTCATCGTGATATCTCTTCCAAACGTAATCATCTGTGGCTTTCAATTTTAACAAGCATGACCTGTATGTCACAGGACGAATCAGACATTAACATTGCTGCTTCAAGTTAAGGGCAATACGCGTTATGTCCTTGTTTATCAATAGAGGAACGTAGCATTTAGAAAAGTATCTAATCAGCAACGGGAAAAACACGGAAAGGCACTGCTCCTCTAAGCTGGTTCCCAGCAAAGCCTCTCCCAGCCCTGGCCTACAGTTGCAAGTGCTGCCAGTCATCTAGTACCATGAAAAAAATTCACATGTAATAGCAGGTCACATCACCAGAAAGGCCCCACCACCTAACCCCAGTGTAACCAGATTCACTCTAGGGCTGTGGCGGCTATGACTAAGTTCTACATTTTACAGAATCACAGAATCACAGAATGGTCGGGGTTGGAAGGGACCTCTGTGGGTCATCTAGTCCAAACCCCCTGCCGAAGCAGGGTCACCCAGAGCAGGCTGCACAGGACCTTGTCCAGGTGGGTCTTGAATATCTCCAGAGAAGGAGACTCCACAACCTCCCTTCAGTTTGTGCCCGTTGCCCCTTGTCCTGTCGCTGGCACCACTGAAAAGAGTCTGGCCCCATCCTCCTGACACCCACCCTTCAGATATTTTGCAGATTTGCCCAAGAGTCGCTGCGCCGCAACCAGCAACTTTGGTGCTCTGAGACCAGGGCGTCCCAGGACGATCACCGCAGGGTGTGTGGAGGCTGTGGGGCACAAGGTGGGCACACCTCCTGCGGCCCCTTCTGCAATGCGCACAGGAAGGTCACTGGGCAAGCGGCCGACGTCCACCCCTAAATTCAGCCTGTCTTCAGGCGATCGACCACAAGTGTGCATCGCTCCAACGTGGGAACGTGCGAGAGCTGCCTGGTGGCTCACTCAGCTGGACTCACATGAGTGCTCGCTCATCACGTAGTTCTAAATTGGTGGGCAGAGAGAAGATGGCAGATTTGTGCCTACGGTTGCTTAGGCTATAGACGCAGTTCAGGATTAGCACCAGACATCGCCATGCTAGTATTCAGCTTACACAGGCATCTGGAGGAGACTGAGAGGATACAAGTTAATTGCACGAGATCACCGTGGCAGATGGAAAAGCAGGTCTGCGTACTACGGAGAGCTGCTGGTCAGGTTTTAGGAGGAGTTCACCTACCCTCCATCAGCAGACACAGCAGTTTTGAATGGCATTGTGACAAGCAGACCTTTTTACGTGGATATTCTCCCCCGTCCTCTAAGAGTTCTCCCTTACTAGAGCAATCAGTGCTTCTCTCCTGTGACCTCCAGCTGCATTGCTTTAACACGGGCTGCACTCAAAAACCGCTGGCAAGTGAGAACCGACGCTGACGGGGAGAGCTGCTCTCAGGGCACCGTTCGCTGGTTACCCGACAGCCCTCTTCGGCCAGCAGTGCTGTGCGGCGTTTGAGTCGCCGCTCTGCGAGAGACCGCCTCTACAGCACAGCCAGAGACAGCTGAAGCAGCAGCGATTTGATTATTCCTCTGGGCTGACAAGGCCAAAATTTGCTTAGCTTTAGGAATTGGAACAGGGCCTACATCTTCTCCCAAGTGTTGGTCTAATGACGGATGAAATTGTTTTCCTTCATTTTCTTTGCTAAAACTAAGCCAGAATTGCATGTTTCAACAGATGTTGCCCTGTGTAGGCTGAAACATGTTGGTAGAGCATAACTACTTATATTTAAACCCAGACACGTATAGGGAATCTTTACAGGGGCTTCACACATCCAAAACAAACACAGCGTGTTCCCAAGTTGCACCCTGAGAACCTTCAGGCAGGCAGCGGCGGAGGATCTCCCACTCTTGGCCAGCTGACATGCTGGCATGCATGTCCCTGCCCATGCTGCTTCTGCCATAGGACATTCCAAGGCGCTGAGTTACTGGGGACAAATTCAGGCTTTCTAAACACTTTGAAAAATAGTTTTTCAACTATTGCACCAGGGAGTAAATGTGATGGGAAAACAAAAGTCCATTTCCCCAAGACTATTACTAGATAGAAACAGATAAAATAAGGCCATAGGTTTCAGATGGCATGGGCTTTCCAAAACTGGGACAGGATTTTTAAATAGGGTGCTGTTGCTTAGCCCTCATGAGAAGCTTGGCTGTAAGAGAGGCAGTGAAATTATCCGGATGTCCTGTTCTCTTGAAAAGCAACACTCCTGTCTCCCAGGTGAATATTTGCACCATTTGGACCATAAAATCCAGAAGACCCATTTCCCAAAGTGCAGGCAGGTATAACTCCACACAATTTACTAGCATTGCTTTTGCTTAAGATAGATTTGACTGCAGTCCCAAATTTGAGAGAGAAAGATACCGTCCTTAAAGCAACTACACAAATCATAGAATAATTTTGGCTAGAAGGGATGCCTGGGTATCATCGGCCCTCTGCTTCAAGCACATCACATCAACAGAAACAAGAAGAGCACCAAGATATGTTCTTCCCCTTTCTCTAACGATTAGTACATCGGGCAGCTCTGTTTCAAATTGAATACCTGAGAAGTGAACAGAAATGTTGGAGAAACACATAAACACACACACACACACAGGCTAGCTGGAGGCTGGCTGCGGCGAAGTACGGGAAAGCGTCATTCGCGTGTGCAAGCAAGGACGAAGCAGACAAGCAACAAAGGGGCTCTTGCGACCTTGTCAAAATTCATTAAAATGCACTAGCACGCACAGGCTAACTTCTGTTTGGGAATACCTGGGAAACAAAGGCAGGCCCTCCGGTTCGGGGAATATCCGATTATGAGTTCTCCGTTATCTCAGGTTTGCTTTTAGAAGTGAGAGTGCCGTGATCCCAGCACTACTGTCCTCTCCAAACCAAGAGGCTGTCTTTCTGGGAAAGAAACGAGCAGTGCTGCTAGCTCGCAATAGCAGTAAAACAAGAATAAATAATAACTGTTTACCCTGCTCCGTCCAAGGACACTATACAGCTGTGGTTACAAACATCTCATTTGTCACACGCTGCCTCTTCGCACAGCACCGATTCCCTACGCGTGGGCAGGGTGCTCTGCAGGCTTCTGTTGTGCAAGGCAGGACAGGCGGACTCGGCAAGCGAAACCAACCCGCGGCTGCTCTCTCCCCTAGACTGCGCCCGCCGAAGTTGCCCGCTCGGCTGACTGCTGGCATCAGGCACTTTCCAAACTCACGAGGTGGTGCTGGCCTTGAGTAACTCACTGTTTCTCAGTGGAGGGCGGAAGGAAGGCTGGAAGCGGCAAAAACTGAAGCAGAGAGATGAAACTGTTAATAAGTGTACACTGTGGTGGTTCCCTTGGATTTTAATAACCAACCGAACGGGCACCCCTTGCTGTTGCCAGCCTCCCTCCTTTATTCCAGACATCGGCTGTCCTCGGTTGCCACTCCAGCTCTCCACGCGAGTCGGGCTGCCCCATGGCCCTGCTGCCAGCCCTGTTCATTCTCCACCCGGCACTTGCTCCTTCGCCGGCACCGCGGAGGAACGATTCACCACCTCACTTCTCCAGCCTTGCCACGATCCCCCTTCCGCCAGAAATAAGCCAAACCTAACCAGAGATTCCTACTGAGGTCAACGTAATGCAGAAATGAGAGAGAGGAGAAACATTAGGCGAGGTATTTCTGTGCCTCTTCCTGGTTCCTGCAGCCTGTCAGAGATTCAAGGCTTGATTTACAGCAACTGCAGGGCGCTGATTATTGATCTGCAGCCACCCCACCCCACTCACTGCCATTGAGAGGTCCAACCTACAGCAGTAATTCCCACACCTACGCAGCTTCTTCAAGTGAGAACTGAGCCTGATGGGACACTGCCATTCTGAACCGATGTCTGCAGGGTCTGCGCCACGTTCTCCTCCGGCGGCCAGTCCACCTCCTCCCATCTCCAGCATCTACCATCACTGCTGGAGACTCTTTGGATTTAATAGCATGAGATGTATGGATCCATGACTGAGACATCCAGAATGGGAGTCAGATAACCTTCTTTCACTGGGAATCTCAAGACCCTTGTAACTCTTGGGAGATCCTAGGTTTTGGCTTTTCTGTTTGTTTGACTGAAGAAAAGAGAGAAATGATGGTAGACGGAGACAGGGGAGGTGGGGAAAATGTCAGTGTCCCCGCAGATACTGGGATTTTCTAGTGTTGTGGCAGCTTTGCACAAAGGCTTTCAGAGCAAGACACTGGTGTCTGAGAAACCTGGGGAACCCAGGTCACCAACAGGCTGCTAAGATCTGTCATATCTGAATTATTTTGACAGAGAGCACGTTTAATTTTTGGTGGAAGGGCTGAGCAACGCAGCAGCCCGGAGTGAGTAGCGGTCTTTTTCCCCAGTATTTTTTCAAGGTATATTGCAAACTGTTTTTTCTTTATACTCTGCGAAGTATAAAACCCGAGTCTAAGGTCTGCTCAGCTGAGCTGACCAGAGAATCTATCACTCTCTGTCTCTTTCAAACACCAGATGCTGCCAAAACTGGAAGTATGTATTTGCCGGAGGCAAACTGTTTGCAGCATTCAGTGATCAAGACTTCGGTCTCTGTGGCTTCAACAAGCTTCAGCGAGAGCTATCTGCCCATCAGCCCAAAATGCTTCTATCTGTTCTGACAAAAACAGTCATGTAATGAGCAAATGAAACTGGCAATTTTCCATATAAAACAAGAAAACTTCACCAATTTTTCTCCTGTGCATTAAATACACAATTTGGAAGGGTCTGTGCTCTCTATCGCTCATTTAGCCACAATCTAGATAGATTTCAATGTCCTATTAATCTTTGAGGACAGTTGATGAAAAAGAGGTGAGAATCTGACTGTGTGCTTGAAGGCTGGAAAGTGGATCTGATGTAATATTACCTTTTACATGGCAGCAGTTACTTGCGGCCCTGCTCGAACGATCAGACGTGCTGCTCTCAGTAGCAGGCTGGCTTGCACATGAGCAATACAACCCAAATGCTCGTGGGCAAAGCTCCCAGTTAACTGCAGCAGAATCTGGCACTGTGTGAAGTGCATTTAGCACATCTGCAAGTTTCCATTTGTGCATGCTGGCTGCAGTTTGGTAACAGACACTCTTATTATATATCTGACTCCAAGAAAAAAAGCCTCCTGCTGACCAGCGAGTAGCCAGAGCAGTCCGTGACGACAAGGAACATAAACTATGCGTTATCAAAGTCACATCTCAGGCTCCAAGGAGAACCCAAGGAGGCTGAAGCAATTAAAACTACCATTCACTTTCTCCATGCTCAGATTAAACATAAGCTAAAATCACATTCTCCCTGCTGCTTTAGGCTGTTTGACCCTTCTGATTTCAAGCGATTTCAGCATGGGTGGATGTAAAGTTGTCATTTCACACTGTCAGGAAAGAGATCCCATTGCGATTCCAAGCTACCAGTGATGTGTTGCAATACCCCAACTCCTCAGCCAAGGAGTACCAGAGTCAAGCCTGCTTTGGGGTCCGTTGGGTGTGTGTAGGCTGGAAAGGTGGCAGAACCATTTGTAATGAGGTGTGGTAGTCAAGAAAGGACTATGAATAGGGAAAACCCATGGAGTGGATTTCCTTGTATTCATCACTCTCACGGAAACAGGCAACTGGAAGGGAGGATGTAGGAAGAGGAACTGGGGATGTAAGCAGTCACTTTAACCATAAAGGACACTGGTTATTACCTAGCTTGGTGCATTCTGGGGATTATATACCTTCTCCCAATTTAAAATTTACAGTGGCAATATGAAATCCGCCATCATTAAAACAAAAGTTGCTATTTAGGCTATGCACATGTAAAAGGCCTCCTAAACACCGCTGCTACATTTGTAGAATTTGATCTCCCATCAGTACGACAAAAACCAGTTGCCTTGACGGGAGCGTGCTGTGAT